GCACGGCTGCCTCCTCCCCAGGGAGGGAAGGGTGGCCGGGTACTCACCGGAGCTGGTGGGGCTGTGCCGGTTTAAAACTGGGAGCTTGCTGAGCATGAGGGACCCAATTCTCCTTAGTTAATAGGGGAAGAGGGAGAGAAGTTACATCTCACCCTAAAAGGAGAATGCAGGCAGTGCTGACTCCCATTATAGTCAGAGGGAAAATATGAATTACATATTCCCTATAGTTTTAGGATGACAGCTGTAACATATTTTACTCTTAGAACCATTTTTGCCTCCTGCCTCATCACCAAGATTACTAGACACCCTTCAGTAAGGCTTGGACTGACCATCAGAGCTGCTTGTTTCTCAGGGCCAGGCTGGATGGGGCTCTGAACAACCTGGTCTAGTGAAAGGTGTCCCTGCACATGGCAGGGGGTTGGAACCAGGTGATCTTCCAGGTCCCTTCCAACACAAACCATTCTGTGACTCTCCTCTATGATTCTAAACTTTCCTGTGCACTCAGCAATCGCTGAAGCATGCTCCAGCCTCAGGAAACGGGAGGAAAAAATAGTTCATTATTTTACGAAATGTACATGTTTGTAATATTGCATACTGATGGATTCATTATGAATTACATTTTGCTGAATAGGAGGATTCCTGTGGGAGGGACAGCACACAACAAAAAAAGAAAGGTAAAGGGAGGGAGGTGATTTTTATGTCTGTAAAGGTGTCTCCTGGGTGTACCCAGAGTGGAAGATACACAATTTCCTTCTAGCTGTTTGGATTTGTTTGCAATTAAAGTCTAGTGGAGCTGTCAGGGGCTGTTGACAAATATATTATAAACAACTTAGGTTAAGCGAGTTACTTAAAATTAATCCATCCCTGCACAACACTCCTGTTTCACTTCACAAGAATGTGCCAGGAGGAATGAGTACAATCCTGACCACGTTGGGAGACCCTCCTCAAGGTGGAAATTTGCAAATAGGGCTACTGTAGTATGTAATGAGAAGCTGCAGGGCTTTCAATTATCCCACATAGTCTGTCTCTTTGCAACTTGACTGACAGCTAATTATGCTGGGGCCATTTTTTTGGCAGTGGAATTTAATCTCCCAGATGGAAAGCAAATCAATCTGCCCATTGCTGCAGCTGAGGCATACTTTGACTCAACTTTAATTTATTCTCCTAAGCCTAAGAAGGTTAGTCATTTCAAGGTACAAAAATATCAAATTTCTTCCGTTAACCAGGCTGGTGAAAAAGTGGGGAAGAGTTGGGATTTTATGGGCTGCGCTGTGGAACGTCGTCGCTCCTTCCTTTGTATTAGGAAACAGCGGTATCATCTCCCCTTGATTCCTGGTTGTGGAATCTAACAGGGAAGAAGCATTTATGAGCAGGTTGCTAGTGATAATGGTTAAACATGAATTGTGGAGGCATTAAGTGGGATTCTATGGAGGAGCAAACTAAATCTCTGAAGAACTTGACACAAAAAGGGATCGGTGGCAATTTTCAAGCACTTTAGCCAGTGTGCAATAGCCTGGTTCCCTTTGGGTTTCGTGCCAGGGATATAAATACAATCCTCCTACTTACCTGCACTCTTCAGGCCTATCAATTATGCTGCTCCTTCTGAGTTGCAGTTACAACTTGAGGTATTACTGTCCTCTGTAAAAGCAGCACAGAGCAGAGTATGTGACTGGTTAGCACAGACTGCAGAGCTCATCTTCGAGTACCAGCACCTGCAGCTCCTATCAATGCTGCTTCTCGGGCTAGAAACCCCAATTTTAGCTAGGATCAAGGGGAAGGGAGCTCACAAAAACTTGGTGCTAATGAATGCTGGAAACCTGGAGCCTTATGTTTCTGTAAACTTTTGTCTCTCTGATTGTTTCAGTCTGAGTGTGGCTCTGATGTCTTGTCTGTGTGTTACTGTTTTCCCTTTTGGATTGCTTTTTCTGAATTCTCTGGAGATGTTTAAGGCCAGGTTCGGCTCAGCAACCTGGTCTAGTGCAAAGTGTCCCTGCCCAAGGCAGGGAGTTGGAAAGAGATGATCTTTAAGGTCCCTCTGACCCAAACCATCCTAGGACTCTGATTCTACTCTGGTTTTTGGAGTTTTTACAAACAGGATGGTTCCTGATTCACCTTCTTACTGAAAAAAGCATTTCTAAAAGTGCTTTGCTCACACCTAATGACTCCAGTTCCAGTCTTCCTCACATTTTCACAAAACTACAGTCACTTCAGTGACTTCCTTAGTACACTTGGTGGCTGAAGGATTACAAACTCTCCTATCTTGCTATCAACACCTATCTTTTTGTATTTCCGTATTATCCTTATGATTATGTTGATACTGCTCCCAATGGACCCTTGAATTGCATTTCCCAATTGTGATAAAATCTTGTAAATGGAAGCATTTTTGGTGACAAATCTCTGGAGATGTCCTGATGTTGTCCCATTGGTGCATTTGTTTACCCTGCTGCACACAGCATCTCCAATACTATGGTTATGAGGGCTTGAGTTACTAATCTGAGTTTTTATTTAATTCATCATTCATTAAACAATTAGAACAATTATTTGTTCTCAACTATGCTGTAAGTTTGAATGATGGTGATGAAATGCAGTGTCAGACCTGTAATCAAGCACATGGAAGCAATTCAATTCCACCTATTCTTTGTCCAATTACCCGAAAATAGGGAGCAGTGGGATCTCCAGGATGCAACAGGCATCAGGACAGGCAAAGTCTCTGCCATGTGTCTGTACCTCCTGTCAGGGTCATCCTTGCTCAGCCACCTGACTTCTACTGACTTGAATTGAAAATGCTATTTGCCACAAAATGCTTTAAACATTTTTACTTTCTTACCTTGAAAGTATTGAAAAACATCTATTTTAACTGCTATGTTCAGGTAAAAGACAGAATGAACTTACCAGTAAGAGAAGAAGCTGTAAAGGCACCTCACTGACATTTTTCCATGTGTGGCCTTCCCAAAGTGTTATTTTTGTTTGTTTTTTTTTTGGGGTTTTGTTTTGGTTTTTTTTTTTTTTTTTTTTGGTCAAGTGAAGCTTGCATGTTTAGCTCCAGCAAGCAAAATGCCACAGAGATTCCCAAAGTAATGTCCTGGCCCCAATGCATATGTTAGCAGGAATTTCTCCTCTTGTTTTCCTTGTTATGAATGTAACCTGATCTGTTACTTTTTAGGTTCTTGAATAGGTGCCATAATCTACTCAGGCTGCCTGAGGTCAAGCTTGTTCTGGGATCTCTGGCTCTCCTGACAGGCTGCTGGATTTTGGGACCTTGGAGCAGCACTCCTCGGGCTCTGGGAGATGTGGGTGAACACAGGTGGCTCTGGGCTGTTGGAGGAGGAAGAGGATGCTCTGTGTTTGTATGGAGAAAGAATATGGCAATGCCCCACATGAGACAGCTCCAACACTGCAAATTATTCTCGTTTTGCTTTTTCCTTACAAAAGCACCATAATCACAGCAAATAAAATGGCACATCACAGGTGATCCCAAGGAAGTCAGCCAAGCTTCTTGTGGAGCCCACAGTTAAAAAAGGAGCTGAGATTGGAGGCCAAAAGAAGCAAGTCCATGTGATTTGAGTTACAATTCAGTTTGCTTTAGGATTTTCTAGCTGAAAGACAAAAGTTGGCCCTCCCAGCCTGGTGCAGTGTGAGATCTGTTAAATGCCACTGGAGATTGTACTTTCAACCACCTAGAAAATAAACTGGATAAACACTTCAGTTGACATTAAAACCTTCAGAGTTTGAAATAGTGAGACTTAATACAGTATAGTAAATTTTAACCTGAAAACAGATCAGGATTCTGTTATCTGAATGCTCAGTGTGATGTGTGCTCTCCTGTGTTAAAGATGTGCTCCTGAACTGAAAAAAATCAAGGCCCATTTCACTCGGAGTTAGCTGCTCATGAGAGTTTTTTGATATTTTTGAATTCTTTTAGTGACATCTAGTGAAACTTGGGGAAAGTGCAAGTTCAGTTGAACTCCAAGGATGGATTCAACTGCAGTAGCAGATGCTTCACAAATAAATGCCCAAAGTACTGCACCTTATTTCATTTACTGTCCCTTAAGCTGCTGTCTAAGAAATGCACAAAATGCATTTTGGCCAATAAAAATTTTCAAGTTTGAGCTCATATTCTGTCAAACACTTTATGCATTTAAAGCACAAAAATAATTTACTCTTTGATCCTTTTGAGTATATATTTAGAATAACTTTTATTTTATACTGTATTTTAAATTTGCCTTCTGTTATTAGTGCCACACTTGAAGGCTCCAAGTATTTTTACTTCTACAAAGAACACCCCCAAACTTTTGCAGGAGTTCAAGTTACACATTTTCAATATTTGGTATTCCTGAACTTACTGAAAAGTCAGATTGGGTCTGCTTGTTGCTCTGGGCCAATTCAGATTGGATGTGAAATACTCTTTCATCAGCAAATGAAGTTTTTCAACAGAGATGGAAAACGTATGCCTCCTACCTAGAAATAACTAAAAACTTCAAAGGAAGAGCTGCCTCCCTCAGAGTAGCATCCACATGCTAACAGTGTAATTTCTTTTTCTCAAAGTACAAACCCAAGTGGCTTCCATAAAGTCAATGTTGGTATGGATTTCAGCTGTGCAAAGGACAGGGCCACCACTACAAACAGGGCTCATAAATATTTGGAAAAAATACAAAGTACCTTCAAACAGGCCAGTATTAGATGACTGGAAAGAGTTCAAAAAGTCTTAGGCCTTGCTTGATCTAAAAGGCTTCAACCTCCTAAACTGAATAGGCAATTAGGGCAGATTCTGCACAGGAGGATCTGAAGCAACAACTGGGAAGGGTGAACACTGGAAAAGTCCCAGCTGTGAGTGTCAGTGAGCACACTCACATGCAGCCAGCACAGGGAAGAAGCCCAGCATATCCAAACAAGCTTCCAGGTCACTGATTCTGATCTGCTCTCATCCCTCTCAGAGCTAACTTTTCAGAACTTAAAAAATAAAGGCTTAAAGGAAAAATCAATCAAAGTACACCAAAAGCAACAGTTCAAACATTTTACTAAATCAATTCACACAGTTTCAAAATTGTAAATATAATTAAGGACAACAGGGTTTCTGTATTTTTTTTTTTCTTCCAGAATCATTAAGACAATAAACAAACACAAATTAGGTTTATAGCATCTGTTCTTTTAAAAAATGAAAGGAACGCCACTCGATGTATTGATAAAGCACCACAACACAGTTACAAAATAGGGTTGGCCTGTTTCTTTCACAAGTAAAAGACTACATACTCCTAACAGTTTCCTGTTCCGATTCATACTTCATTAAAATAAAACTATAAAATCTTCTAGATTACACTAACTTCAGACAATGCCTGGTATAACAGTGCATTAACAGCAGTAATGCCAACTATCAGTGCCAACATAAAACAGTTTAGAGAGGAAAAACAAAACAAACAAAAAAATTCCAAAACAAAACAACAAAACCCCCACGTTTATTTCCCTAGATGAGCAAAATTTAAAATAAGGGATGCTCTGCCTCACAAGGATTGAAAGATTTGAGGATGCTGATGGGTGGAAGAGGGGGCTGGTACTGTAGCTTTCTAGGCTTAGTTGGCATCTAGTTTGGCCATTTCCTGCACGTATATCCCTATACTCTCGCTGTCAAAGAGCACGAAGTACACCGTCTTGATTGAAGAGGACATTGTAGACACAAAATAGCTGGAGATGGCTTTCAGGATCAGCTGAGCAGCTGTTTGCTTTGGGAAGCCATTTCTAGAAGGAGAGAGGGAAAAAAAAAAGGAAAATCAAGACGCCAACTTTTGATGGTTTAACTTCTCAGGGAAGGCTCCATCTTTTCTCCAACACCTCACGGCAAATAAAGCTACAAAACCAGTGTTTACAGTGTGAATTAGAAGCTTGTTGATTAAGGTGAGACTTAAAATGCTCAAACAGAAGAAAAGCATTCCTAAAATATGAATACAGAGTCTGCATACAATGTTGGGTTGAACCTCATGATACCTGATGGGTCAATTATTCTCATTTAACAGGTAAGTAAAGAAAGAGCCTGCAGTGTTCTGGAAAGCAGTGTATGTGTTGGAGCTGCAAAATCAAACCTGTCCTGAAAGCAAAGCAACTGTTAAAGAAAAGTAAAAAGGGACAGAGAACTTGATATAGAATATGAAACATGAAAAGACCCAAACTACAATACGGTCTTACCACTACTAATGATAACTAAGCACAGGATTTTACAGGACCTAACCTGACAACCTTTCTTATAAAATTCTTCACATTTTTATCTAGGAATTCTTGTCTGAAAGATTCATCTATTCTTAAAACAAGTCAAGCACAAGTAGAATTGTCTGAACAAAGCTATGACCTGAACTTTATGATCTGAATTTTATAGATCATAGCAAACTCCTGGAATTACACCTGGTAACTGCTTGGAACTGCCTGAACTTTGTTGCTGTGTTACTCCTGAAGTACTGCTACTCACCCAGACCATGGTTTTACCCTGCCAAATTCTGAGCCCTCCCTCAGCCTCAGTGATGTGCACTCCATAGTCAGTCTGAAGGTGATGGGACATGAACTCTCTCTTAGGAGTAGCACCCAAAAATAACCTGAAAGGACCTGTTGAACATCACCTGGTTCCCTGATGTGCACTTACAGATACCTGGTAGGTAATACTTCCTATTATAAAGTGTGTACTATTAATATTACAAATAATTTACAGATTACACAGATGGATGAATTTTTCAGCATTTCCTGAGCAGTTCAAGGAAGCTGGGATAATCCACCTCTGGCACTAACAGGAGAACATTTCTCAGCACTTGCTCACTGATGCACCACGCTGGTAGTAAAATGCTGTTGTAATCTCCCTCTTATTTTGTGCTGCAACACACCAAATGTGAAGGGCAATTGCCTGTGTCATGGCCCACTTGCTGCACACTGCCTTATCAAAAAACATTATCAGAGGGCAATTCTATGTCAGCTCTGCCTGTAATGTGATATTATATGTGCTGTCTTGAAGAAAATGTTTGTGGTATTTCAAAAATGATGGCATGAAATAGCTTACACTATTTTTTTCTTTTTTGAAAATGCCTGATTTTTTCTTCTATTGAAGAAGGGGAAAAAAAAAAAAAAGGAAAAAGCATTGTGAGCAAAGTTTGTACTATTCCAAAGCCAAATGAGCTGGTCAGGGATAATCAGTTGTGTGAGAAGTTAATCAGCTGAGAGCAGTTTTGACACAGGAGCTGCTTAGGAGTCAGCAGCTTCCACACCTGGGCACTTGCAGGTTATTTATGAGTGCTGCATCCTGGCATACAGTGAAGAGATCTTCCAGGAACTTTGCTCTGATGTAGGGCAGCATCAAACCAGGGACATACACTGTTTCTGAACTGTTCTCAGGGGCCTCTGAAGTCACACAGCTTCCAAGTGCTCTGGCAGGGTGGTCACACCAGGGCACATGAAAGAAGAGTGGCCTGGTGAAAGGAAGGCGCAGTGCCAGGCTAGCTGATAACAATCCATTGCTCAGGACACCTCCCCCAGAACAACAGAGCAGAAAAATCAGCAGAAAGGTGCTGGCCTGATGGCCATGTGTGGGCTGCGAGAAACAGAAGCCTGATGCATTGATCTATGGGTCTGAGTTAAATTCTTGTGAAAAGGCAGTTTGGGACTTTAGCCAAACCAGTGTCAATTCAGATCAAAGTCAGAGCCTCAGAATGAAATCCCTTCTCAGAGGATGAGTTCATGTTCAATCCCTAACTCTCCTTTCCCTTTTCTCCTGCTGGCCCTACCAGACTGAACTCCAGGCTACCTCTGAACAGAACCCAAGTTGTGCTTTCCATAAGTTGGCTGTAGCTGAGCATCTGGCCCAGTGAATGCTACAAGTATGCTATTTTATTTCCCCTCGTGATTTATTTGAACTGCCCTCATGTAATCCCATTCCTCAACTATAAAAGAGAATGAAACTGTTTATGTGGGTTTATTGGGTGATGTCTGCTTGACAGATGCCTGTACTAGAACAGCTGCATACATGTGGTGTCTTTGGCATTTGTTATCTTTTAAGGCTTTACTTTTTTCTTTTTTTAATACTTTTGACTTCATAAAACAAGTAGAGAGTATTGTCAGAATATATTATGTTCTCTCCAAAATTAACTTACGCTTGAGTATCTCTAATTAAGGGGGAAAAAAAAGGAAAAATACATAACCTCATATATTACTCAAGGCCTTTTGATTCTTCTCCATCTTTTAAAACACCACTTCAGCTGGCTCAAGTAAGAATGACATGTATATGCCAAGTGGAGGACTGGCCCTAGATCCTGCCTGTCAGTAACCAAATTTCAGAACAAAATATGAATCCTGAGGATTGTTCAAGGCTTCATCATTTTCCAGTACCAATCACCTACTTCACAACAAGGGCTGGGAATGGTTCTTTGCTGGGAGCTATCCAGAAAAGACAGGGCTGTGTGGAAAATACTTTTACATGGTCCCACTTTTACATAGCCAATTCCACAGACGCTCTGCACTCTCCACATCAGTCTGTGGAGGAATAGAGTTTCTCCCAGAGAGTGATTCAGAGCTTCTCTTTGTACTGACCAGCCTGTGACCCTGACAGCTAATCCAATAAGTTAGTATGAACCCCCTGCTTTATTTCTCTACTGTTCTGCAAAGTTTGCTCAAGTTATCTCCTTAAAATGACACCTACGCAAATTAACTTTAGCTGGAGATTTCTATGATGCAAGTTGCTTAAATTTAGCATCCTAATGAAACTTTTATTTCTTGTCATTCATCCAAAACCTCAAACACTGTTTTCTACCTTAGCCCACAGAATATGCAAGAATTAATCTAGCGTTGCAACACAACACAATGGGAAGAATATTCTTATTGTATACCAGCTAACTTCTTTCACGGCAACTCAAAAGGGTCAGTTGTTCAGGGTTAAGAGACACAACTGTGTAATTCAGCTTAGATTTGGCCCTTGGTCTTCCTATTGAGCCATCAGTGAGGGCCAGGTGTTCCCAGCCTCTCTCTGCACCCCAAACCCAGAAGCCTCAGACTGAAGGTGCAATCAGTCTGGACTGAAACTCTTAAGAACATGATCTGACTTTCAAAGGCACTGAGGACACTGCACAGAGCCAGAGGACCTAAACTTTAGACTAAGGCTTTCAAAGACCTTGGCAAGGGTTTTTAAGGTTTTTGGTTTTTTTTAATGAACTGGTCCCATGATGTAAACTCTATGGAATCCAGCTTATGGATTTTGGATGAAAGCTTGAAGTGACTCTGCAAATCCTGAGAATCAAGGCACATTAGGTTTGCTGCTTAAACAAACAATAAGCCATGTCTTCTGGCTATTGTAACACAGGTAAGTTTCATTACGCACTAAAATCAGGCAAAAGAGACCCCTTTTCTTCATGTTCTTTTCCACATCTCCAATTTATATGAATGAATTGATTGTCTGAAAGAAGTCTTTTAACAGTCTCTTGAAAGTTCATTTTATGCTCCTTATCCCATTTGCATGCTTTAAGATTTGCAGGGATCCCTATGAGATCTGCCAAGACTAAATTGGTACTCAGGAAAACACTGCAGTCTCCAAGCACTGCCTGAACAAATCTAGAAGAAACTCTTCTTTCAGGGAACTGATTCAAACAAGGAAGAAAAAAGCCAGCATTGTAGCTGTGCTTTGTACATGGGAAGGGACTGGAACACCAGATGGCACTTAGAGAACGTGACCTATTTGGCATCAGGTTTGCCTGACAACCTTACCTGCCACTGCCAATGGAAGGAAATGCGATTGATTTCAGCTTCTTTTCGTCAGCCAGAGCTAGGCAGTTCTTCACTGTCTTCTCCAGCAGCTCCTCGCATTTGTCTGAGCCCCAGCCTGGGCTATTACAGTGGATCACAAATTTTGCAGGCAGTCCATGGCCAGCACTGACAACAGCTAGGAAACATTGAAAATGAAACATAATTACCTTCCTCTCTTTAGGATTAAAGGAGTGTACATGTGATTAAAGTAGCAAACAATCAACAGACATTCCCTTAGCCCCTGAGAATGTTTTAGATTATAAATCACACAGCCTTAAAATATAACATGATTACAGAGACTTTGTGTTTTCCATTTCCAGCTGCATTTTGCTGTGATAGTTTATAAATCATAGCTAGGATTGAGCTTATTTGAGAGAGAGCAAGAATTCGTGGCTGACATCAAAGGAAGCACATTTATACTTAGGATTGGGTAAGGAGAAGGGCAGAACCCAAACCCAGACAAGGGATGATCTTGTTTTGGTTGGGTTTACTGCAGAAATACAGTAAATACCAGGATGCTGGACAGGCACAAGGAGTTACAACTCTGATGACCTTCATCTACTCCTGCTAAACGTACAGAGTGTTCAGCTGGCTTCTGATCACACCCCAGCCCAAACTGGAGCAGTTCAGAGCTACTAGTGTTCTGCAAACCCCAAAGGAGAAGAATGGAAACGAGGTGAATTAAGATTCTGGCTTTATTTCCAGCTTTGTCTCTGAATAACTATAATGAAGACATTTTGTGTCATTTCAAGACTTTGGGCCTGGCCTTATTTTAGCTTTTCTATGTATGGGTCATCCAAGATCACTTGAACAATGCTGGACTTAGTTTCTCTCTTTCATCACATTCTTGACAGAGGGGTGTAGAGGATGCATTTACAGATTTGCAGTGTTTGATTCACATTATTTGTGTAACAACAGGCCAGGCCTTGTATGTACAAAGAAATGAAGAAGAATTTTTACCATGCTAATCATATCTTATCACCACAATATTACCATGGACATGTGGGGACTAAGAAGATGCAGCAGACCCTGCCTACAAACTGCTGACAGGCAGGGATTCTCCAGATGAGAGGCCTCCTTCTCTGCAGGAGAACACGTTCTGGGTTCACCACTTCCCATCACAGATCAACAACAGACTGTGCTCTGCCTGCCAGAAGCCAGGGTGAGAGGATCTCTGTCATTTCCAAACTCACTGGGCTGTGGTTGCAAATAAAAAGTTGTAACTTTGGTTTGTTAAAAGAAAAAAAGGTGGGGAGAAGCAAGCCACCCTAATCAGAAGCTGAGGGAAGAAAAACATCTGAAATCTCACAAGAACATACAGTGAGCCTTCACAGAGTCAGCCCCTAAAATACCGCACAAAAGTGTTGGTATAAAATGGTAACTTATGTCTTCACAAAACCATAATAAAAATACCAACAAATTTTTTTTTTAAAATTAAAAAATCAGTCTATAAGAAGAGGTGCTTATAGAAATCCTCTATTCCATTCTGGAATGTTTATGAGGCATTTCGCTATTTAAGTATAGTAGAGGTAACTCTTGGCACATGATCATCACATATGGATACTATCTCATGTCTGCTGCAGGAAAGAGAAAATAGACTTTGTCATATGGATCCTGACCAGGGGTTAACCAGAACATTTTGAAGGACAATGGAAGCACAAGCATTTATATTCTTATGGGTTTGCGGAGTCCCAACATGTTGAATAGCCTCAGTGTTAGGCAATATTAATTTGTCATAATGTGCAACTAAAATGTTGGCAGATTCAGAATACATCATAAATCCAAGAAAAAACTATTAGAAGCAGCTGACATATCTCTAGTCAGATGTGAAATATGGATATCATCCTCATCCTGAAAGAATAAAATACTGTATTGATACACATGACCAAGTTTAATATTTCTCAGGGAGTGTTTTCCAGGGTAGTCATTAATTAACTCATTAAGATTCTAATGAGGACAACTGTTCATTATCAAGAGCAGCTGTCCTTTACTTCAAATGCAAATGCACTGTAATGGGAATTAAGAAAAGATAAAGCCAGCTATGGACTTATTCTGTGCTAGTCACACTCCAGGTAAGCATTCTGCTCATGGGTATATATAAAGGGATGCCCATAGAATTGAGAAATTTGAACCCTGAGTATATGTAGGATTGAAAAATGGATGTATTAGTTCTGCTCCAGAGTCCTCCAACAAGACCCTAACAGCCAGTTTATCTAAGTGCAGTGCAGAGCTGCCCTGAAGTAAGACTGCCAAGCAACCCCTAGATCTGAGGGATGCACTAACAGCTGAGAAAAAGAAACTTTTCTTTTCAACTTGCCAGCTATTTGGAGCAGTTTGGCCTGGGCTGGTAAGCAATCTTGTACAGAAGTTAGTAAAAAGAAAGAAGTGAGTAATTGATTCTGCATATTTTTGCAGAACAAAAATTCCAAGAAAAACTTATTAAAATTTTTAAAAAGCAAGGGAGAAACCCCCAAAGTATTAAGCTCCAGAAGTAAACAGTTGTAATTTTTCCTGTCAGAGCTGAATTCTTACATCTCCCCTTCGGCTGTAGTTAGGATTCGTTTACAAAACTGTGCACACTGTATTTATTTTTATAGCATAAACACAGATGGCAGAATCAGCCTTCTATATGAACAACATGGATCAGCAATTTCACAGATGGTGTAAAATTATATATTGCCATTATCAAACTTTATTACTCACATAGTAGATTTTTCTCTGAGATTACATAAATTTTGATAACTAGGCATCAAAAAGTCATAACCTTTTACAGTGATGATTTTGGCACTGATTAAACTAAGTACCCAAGCAGATGCTGAACTTAAGGCACATGCTTAAGTTCAGTGAAAGTCAGCAGCATTTCAGCAAAGCAGATGTTTAACAGAGTTGGACTCAAAAATAAGCATCTCATTAATTGCTTTTCTGAACTGTGCCCTTAATGATCAACACTGAGTGTGCATGCACGTACCTGTGAGCGGCCTGGCTTTACTGTACCACTACAGCACTGCCCTTTCCCAGGTGCTTAGGTAAAGGTTACTTAAGATGCAATGTGTGCAGTTTAACTGTGGAGAATACAAACACAGCCCTTGGGAGCTGCCTGCAGCCAGCAGAGCCCCAGCACTGCTGCAGGGCTCTGGCTGGGGGTCCCGAAGCGCAGCCTCACCTCCGGCTATGTCCAGCGGCCCGTTCTTTTTGCGGAGCTCAATGACGGCTTCCACAAACTCCTTGCCACCTTTCTTTTCCAAAGTGCTCCCTGAACAGAGAATTGTTAGTTTATTCTTCTGATCTCAGCAGACATATGACTCATCATTCGCTTTTGTTACATCACTCTAGAGTTTTCTGCCCAAACATTTTTTGGGGACTGCAAAGTAAGATCTAAACCTTTTGGGACTTGAGAATTAGCTAGTCATTAAAAACAACAACAACAACAACAGAAAGAACAAAAAGACAACCCTAACAACCCAAAAACCTCACACTGGTATCCCTTGCTAACATTCTCAGACTTGAATCTACTGTCAAAAAAGATCTGACATGACATCCCTACCTCCTTCCTTCTCATGAGCATCTCTTAGTGTGAAATGTTCCAGAAGAATGTGCTAGCTCAACAGTGGTTGAAGGTTTGTAATTCCTTCCCCTAGGATTCATTTCCCCTCTTCTCTTACAAATTGTTTTAAAGAGCCATTTGCCACAATAAGAATTTGAAACTCACCTGATCTTGGTCCCTGACCCCAACAGGTGGCCCCAGGAATGAAACAGTCTCGTGAGTGCAGCGGGCTGCTTTACTTGGTAACTGCCCAGCTTGTTGAGCCACCTTTAACCAAGAGGAAGAGCCTCAGAAATAAGGAGAATCTCTAAGGAACACATTCCTCCAATGAACTTCTCTAACTACAACTAAGGAGCTGGACAAAGTTATTCTGGGAGGAGAAGAGCTGTGCAGTGTCAGGGCAACCAAAAGGTATGCTGTTTACAAAGGCAGTCCATCACTAAATGGTTTAGATCTTATTTTGCAGCTCTAGTTTTAAATATTAATGAAAGAAAAAACAGCCCAAGAAAGCATTTTCCTAACTACATAAGCATCCCACATAATTTTGCATATTAAAGATAAATAAAAAGCAGCGATATCATAAAGGCTCTGATTTGAGATATTGCTTTGAAAACTGATTTCCAAAAGTTCAGAACTAGGATCTCTAAAGATCTAGACATTTATTTGGTGACACCCCTTACTTCCACTGATGAAGAAAGAAAAAAATGCAATTTCTGATGGAAGTGCACATACTATATGCTCCAGGAAGCAGAGTCCCTCCTCCAAGATTCTGGTTATTAAATCAGGTTATATAGCTCTAGGAACTAAGAAGACTGCAAGATGCTTTTGTTTTGTTTTTTAAATTTCTTCCAAACTGAAAAGCTGAAAACAATGCATTTGTCTTCTATTCAAAAACTGACTCTGTGACCCTGAGTATATTTCGTTCATGGGAGTTTATTGCTTTTGGGGTACAAAAGCTGAGGACAATTACAAAAGCTATGCCTTTTCTTTGGCTTTTTCATAACCAGTTCACAAGAGGGTTTGCAAAAAACTGGATTGCAAGGTCAGACTGTGTAGGTCAGAGTGTAATTTGCTGTTTGTGCTCATTTAAGCTTTTAAATATAAATACTTCAGCCAAACTCCTAAGGATTTCCTGAAACTTAAAGTTGCCTATCCCAGTGCAACTGAGTGGGAGGATTACCTTACAAATCTCCTAGAAAAGACAGTAGTGGCTTTATTTGTAGGAGCAAGGTGTCTCGGGAGAGTGCTGGGAAAAGACGTCCAGAGCAGCACTGAGGTGCCTGGAAGCACTCTACCCTTCAAAGGCATGAGTAAAGCACAACACCCTGTGCCCTTTGCTGAGCCCATCCAGCAGATGGGGCTGACTCCAGGGTCTTATAAAATCACTCTGAGAAGGGATGGGGAGGGAATGAAACTGCCTTCCAATCTAGTTATAGTCCTGTTGTATATATTTCCATATCATTCCTTTTTATATTTATATATATGCCAGTTATATTCCCCATGAGTCCATGGACTCTGATCAGTCCTAAACCCCATGACATTCATAATCCTTAATTTCTCTTGTTTCAAGGGGAAACATAATTAAGCCTTGTGCAGAACCTAGGAACAGCAAAGTTCTATTAAGTAGGTCATTTCTTTGCCATTGCAAAGCTGTTGTACATTTAATGGAATTTAGCCTAGTTTGGTTTAATTCAATCCAGAAGGATCAGCTTTTTCCCTTCTACTGGGAATTAATTTATAATTAAAAGCAATGAACAACCATGTCAGTTTATTCCACTGAGCTCTCTTCTTGCAGATCTGGTACAAAGAACAGAAAAAGTAATATTTGGTATGAATGAGTGAAATATTCTGCATTTACTCCTCAATTATGCTCTTCTTCTGATTAATAGTGAGGGTTTATATTGAAATCATACTTGACATCTATGTTGTAAATTAGCTTAATCTGGCAAAGGACAGAATGTATTTAACCATTTTCCACTACACTAGCAAGTTTCTTGATGGAAGTCTTGCTTCACACCTTCAAGGTTAGTAGCTTATTTGCTCACAAGCATAAATATGTGTCACTCCCATGAGAATAAGATCATTATCTCATGCTTTTCAAGCAGGCATTGGTATCAGTGTTGAAAACAGCGTTAGCAGAAATTTAGGCTCTAAAATTCTCAGGATAAGCCCCCAGTACATTTAAATTGTTAGGGAAAAAAACCAACAAAAAATTAAAAAAAAATTTAGATGGGTAAAAGTTAATCATTGGAAGCTAAGCATTTGTGCACTTCTATTCTTTCTTACAGCAGTCAGAGGCAACAGGAACCTACACTAAGGAACGAGCAGTCCAACTTCAACAGACAATTTTCTTTGCAGAGTAGCAAAGCATTTCTTTGTCACAGGGTAGGAGACAGGCACATTGACTGAATGGGTCTGACAGACTTTGGTAGCATATTCTTCAGGTACAGGCTACTATGACACTGTGCATATTATTTAGCCAGCAAAGTCACAGTGCTTCTGCCCCAACAGGCCAACCAGAGCTACATTTCTCTGCTTGTTACTCAGAATGCAGCCCTTTCAGAAAAAACAGGTGGTGCAGGACGTGTCCCTCCTAGTCAGTACTGAAAACAAGGCCTCAGGCACGGGGGGAGCCCATTCTCACAGCGATGGTGAAGTCAAGATGAGATGCAGAACAGAGGCTGGGATCAGCTGACTTGTTCTTAAGCGCTGCCAGCAACTTCTACATTTGGCCCAAGTTCTGATTTGCCTTCTCAAATTACCAAGGCAGTTCAATCAAAGTAATCCTATCCTTTTATAAAATCCTTCAAAATTCTGTGTATGAGAGGGTTAAGAGAAGGGCTAGAAGAAGAGTTACTCAAGGGACAGTTAAGATGGCTGAATTAAGAGATCTGTCCTGTTTCCTGTCATGCCTTCTCTCATTCGTGTAGCTCAGGTGACCGATGTGTGTGCAGCACTAGCCTGGGCTTGTGGGTGTGAGGACCACGGAGCAGGGCTAGGAAGGTCATCGGTCTATAAGGATATTCTTAAGAGTTTTGAAAATACAAACAGGTTAGATCTAGCCCATGAATCCAGATATGAGCATCTGAAACTTGGCATGAAGAGGGTGCACTGGAACTGGTTAAAATCTAAAGATCAAGACTCAAGCCACATTCAAACCAGGCACTTGGCAAACCAACAATGTCGTAATTAATTTTCCTTGGTCATGTGCCTGCATTTAACGCACTGTTCCTGCACTTCAGTTTTGGTGGTGCACTCCATGGTTACTTCTGAAAGGCTGATTTGGCAACAAAAACCAAAGATGCCCACTAGGTTTGTAATTGTTCATTTCTGGTTACGATCAGTCGGGACTGCTGGAAGTGAGAAATGAATGCAAATCTGCATAGCTACAACAAGCTGGTGGCTGCTGATCGACCATGCACACACATACGAACTCCGCAGCACTGAACTTGCCATTACCTACTTCACCACCGGTGTAGAAGTCAGAGTTTGTCGGGTGAACGACAGCATCACTGTCGATCGTGGCAATGTCAGCCTGTACAACTTGCAACTACAACAGGTAAACAGATGTATATCAACCACGTTGGACAGAGACCCAGCACAGGCTCTACATTTACACATGTACCAACGTCCATATTTGCCTACCTTTACATCTCCAAACCTTGCGCCAAAGGAGTATGCTGAGTTGTGTGTGCAGGTGTGTGTAGAGAAAGGGGTGTAGGGAGCAGGAGGAGGAATATTGAGTATGACATGATCAAATAAATGTTAAAATGACAAGTCAGAGCAATCACATGAGATCATTTCCAAAGTTTTAAAATCAGCTAATGCCCCATTTCACTTTGCAGAAACCTAGAACAACCAGTTCCCCACAGAGCATGACATTAAAATATGGAATCTGTTTAAAAAAGAGAAATTCAGGATCACCAAGACAAACAAAATAATTAGTTTCTCCATTTTGTCAGCACTAATAAGCTGACAGCCACTGATTTTCATATGTAAAGCCATTCATCATTTTGTTTCTAAAAATGCCAGTTTCCTTCACATGTAGGAAATTATGTATTTGCAGCCAGGGTTGTGCAGAATTTGCTTTAAAAATACAAATAATTGCTTGTTAAAGTAAGGCATATCTTTTTAATTATGTGCTGGACTGGCTAAGATACTTGTAGAAATATACGTATTTCTAAGAAAGGCTGATAAAAAAATTAGCCTTCTTAGACCTTTTTTCTTGTGAAGTTACTTCTCTATATTCCCATAGGAAATGCAGCATTATTAGAATTACAGGTTGTATTCCATTAAGGAAGTTTCAAAAAAAAGACAGCAGCAGGTCTACTCAAAAAAGAAGGAAACACAGTACATAATGCATGAAAGGCAATTTTTGTTTTGCTGAAGGATAAACTTCTATTAAAGATGGATTTTTTGACTTCTTATCAATCTGAAACAAGAGAAAAGCTTCAAAAGTGATTCTCCATCCATGATAGTTCACTTTTGATATAATATCAGTATTTGTTTCCAGCTGAATGTAAAAGTGACAGGGAAGAATTGAAACATAATGGAAACAAATTATTGACTGAGTAAACACTAAATCAAGGTACAGAAGATTTGGGGACAGCTAACAATGTAGTAAGCTCTTTCCAAAATTTTTAAGCCTAGTCTAAGTACTGAAATAAAACCCCTGAGATTGCAGGTAGAATGGAGAAACTGCTTATTTTGAGAAAAACCTGACAAAAAAAGTATTTTAGTCCTCAAAGTATCCAAATAAGAAACCCCCCAAAATAGCTAACAGTCACATATGATCATTATGGAAAAGAATTTAAAATTTTTGAACTGAAATCAGCTTGAAGACTAGCAATTGCTGCAAGTGTTCAGAATTGGTCAAAAAGTGTTTTGAATATAGTTCTTCAAAAAAGCAGGACCTGCAAGATTTGAATTTCTGCTCTGATTAAAGGTATGAAGCCCTAGAGAGTAAATTCTGGGTTCCATAATTTCCATGTGACCGTTAGTTGTGTCAACCCATGCCCCATTTACCTAGGTCATCTTTAAGGTCAATGTCAGCATTGGTAGGATTGATAATGGCCTCCACCTCGAAGCCGGCTAAATTACTGATTTCACTGTGAATAAGGTTCAGCTGAAAAGAAAAGCATGAGGTGGGAAATAACAGGACAGCTGGGAAATCACAGAGAAGCTGCAGAAAAGTGAGCTTTGCAACACAGATGGAGATAGCATCACTGCAAACAAATATGCAAAATAAAAGGCAGGTCATAAAGGGATATTAGCCCAAAAAAATTCAAACACAAGACTCAAACATGGTTTATACTAGGAGATCATGAATGTACCAACTAGTAAGCTCTATTTTGGTTTTACACTGATCACTATTTGGGATTATTATTATCCAGTATCTAAAGAGGGCTCACAAGAAGTCTGGATAGGGACTTTTCATGAGGGCTAGGAGTGACAGGACACAAGGAATGACCTTAAACTGAAGGAGGGGAGGTTAAGATTGGATATTAGGAAGAAATTCTTCCCTGTGAGGGTGATGAGGCCCTGGCACTGGCTGCCCAGAGAAGCTGTGGCTGCCCCATCCCTGGAAATGGTCAAGGCCAGGTTGGATGGGGCTTGGAGCAACCTGGGATTATGGAAGGTGTCCCTGCCCATGGCAGGGCATTGGATTGAGATGAGCTTTAAGGTCCCTTCCAAAGTATTTTGTGATTCTAATTTTGCCATTAAACGAGGGTATTTGTTTCTTTCCCAAGTATAGAGATGAAGGACACCCTAAGCATCCCTTAAGCATCAATTACAGGGATGTGCTGAGACTATTCTGCACTGAAACAGGATCAAAGCTGCTGCTGCTCCCTCTTTAAGCCAGCAAACACGAGCCTATCTCTGAGAAAGCAGACACTTGTCTCCAGCAATTCCTCCATCCCAACAAGGGGACGAGGCTTTTTTTTTGTTTACTTATCAGTGGTCACCATGTTCTGTATACTTCAGTCCTCATTACAGTTCTGCAGCCTTTGGGAATGTCTGGTGAGGTACCATAAGCAGGCACATGATATTACGTGCTGATTGCTTCTAGTTCTTATTTTGTTTGTTTTACTTCCTTTTGTCCCTTATGAAAGCAGAGATTTTTAAACCCACCCATTAATGCTCATTTACTCCTCTAAGTAACCTCATATATTTCAAGCATGTCTTTCAATTTCTTTCTTGTTATAAATCAGGAGGATTTCTCCTGAAGTCACAGGAAGATTTCTCCTCTTTCCTGAGGCACACAGGGAACTGCAGAAGGCAGCACAGAGGTCTAGAGACTGACCTCACATCTGCATTATGAGTTCTTAAGAGACAGTTTGGGGGTCTCCTAATAGGATGTGACCCACAACACAAAATCAACTCTACAATTTGATGCAACCTAATGGGAATGCTAAACTTGGCAAAGGTCAAACAGCAGGTATGGGAAGTTTCTAACCAGGGTTTGACACTGCTTTATAGCTTCTGTTGGGAGTCTGATTTCATGGGAACCATGTTTATTACTGACAAAACTTTAAATACTTTAAAAGTACAAAAGATTTTCTAGACTTTTTCATTTGGGGAAATACATTAGCTACAGCATAACCAATGCCTGAGTTTACAATATGTATTTTAAATTATTTTTCCAGTAGCTGTTTGGGTGATATGGAAAGCAACTATGAAGGAGAAAGATCTCATTCATTTATACAATTCCTGCAACCAGCTGCAGTTAGGCCAGGCTTTCCTTTTAATCCAAAGCCCTCAGCCTACAAAGCATAACATTAATCTTCAGGCATAGCACTTTATATCATCCATATCAGAATTTTATCTCTTTTTTGTTGTAGCCCACATTCTTAAACTTAACTCTTCCTTCTTTGTGTATGTTAATTTATTAACAGGGAATATGAGCCAGTCTATGAAACCCATACAAGTGAATGGGACTTTTAAAGAGGCCATCATCCCTATATTTATATTTTCTGAAAAAAAAAATATTTCCATTTCATCCATTTGATTCTATGAATTGACCTTCTTTCTCCTTTTAAAAGCCTGCAATTTCATATAATTTGCATATGTTGCTTGAATAAACTATGTTACCTCAAACTAGGGTGATTTTGACTAAAAATGAGTGTAATTCAGCCCTGTTTTAAGTATGTGTCTGTTCGGGAATTTGTAATAAAATCTAAGAAAGCTTCCTTTCCAAATAGCTCAGAATCCTTTAATACTTCACACGTGGTAAGTTATTCATACTGGAGTTTGAGTCTTGGGTTTGACTACAAGCAACTGCTGTTTAAAACACCAGTCAAATCAAATCAAACCAAAATCAAAATATTAAAAAAACTTAATGAATTTTAAAATTAAAAAAAACAACAGCAAAACACATGCACACACCACGACTGTTTTGTGGAGATTATAGTATGTTCCTAAACATATTTTGGTCATTCTGTAAGTGATTTTTTTTGATTCCTAATTCTGTGCTCTACAAGTTTTTGCCCCAGATCTATCAGCTGCAGACTGTTTTTGTTTTGGACCTTAAATCTATCCCTGAGCCTAGTCATATATGGCACTTACATAACAGCCAGCTGGTAATTAAAGTTTCAATTTAGCAACAACAAGAAAATGCTTAAAAAGCTGCCCATGACTGCATGACTGATAGCATGTGTTGGCAGCTAAGTATTATTTTACTAAATTCTGCATTTACTGCTCAATGCACTGTTAGCTATCCAATTGACAAAAACAAATAAAAAACTAATCAGATTTTTTTCCTGTGGAATTAAATCCTCCAATGAGTAATTGCTCAATTTCACTGCCCAATAGTATGAAGCATGTCGTAGGCACAAGTGATCCCCTAAAGGGCCACTTTAAAAAAATAGACACAACTTGCATATACATGAGCAACAAAGAATGGACATAACTTGAGGTAACATTTCAATTAAATGTTAGTTAGATAAAATGCAGATGGCACTTAGCACACCCATAAATATTTTCTAAGCCAAGCCTGGCATTTCTGATTTCAGACAAAATTACCTTAAAAGTCTTGAAGCTTTTTCTGGTATGAGTTTCATACTGAAAACTGAAGATGCCTAGTGCAGACCAAAAGCTGAGGTCTCTTGGAAAGTCCAAACCTTAAAGCTTAGGCTTGAGATCCTGCAACTCTGCCTCTACTTTGCAATACTCTCAGGAAAAACAAAATAGTTAATGTGCACAATGCCACATTTCCACTGGGATGTCACTTGTGGATGTGCAATCATTTACATATTAACTAGATTTTAATAATTAATGTGGCACTAATAAACTTCTACAGGTATAACTGAAAGATTCTTTGCCATTTCATGACCTCTAAGAATTTCCAGCTGAATGTCAGCAGTTACCTAAACATTTATTGCAATAACTGTAATTTTAAAAGCTGAACAATACCCAGGTTTGCAACATTCTCATTTGTGATTTTGCATCAAATCAAATTTATGGTTATTAGAAGGATGAAGAGCTGCTTTTGCAAATAAGTTCCTTCCCTTCTATAAACATGGAGCCTAGAAAAATATTTTTCCATTAAACACTTATGAATGTTGTGACATCAAAACCAAGATTGTTTTCTTCCTTTGCATTTAGCAAAGGATTTTCTGATCTGGCAGATAATGGCTTTGCAAACCACACAAATGGCTGGAAAGGTGTTCAAGAATGTCACAGAAGGTTTGGAAGATCCTGATTGATTATCTCAGCAGCAGTTCTTCAAATGTCTTCTCTAACCCTCGTTCCCTCACAGGAGACAAACAGATTTTCATTTTTTTTAAATTTCTCTTTTCATTATGTGTTACAACAGAATGCTAACACCTGGTCCCTGTCATGTGCAGGACTAGCTGACAAGGAGCCAGTGCAGGGATGGATGTGTCACACCAGTACTTTCCTCAGGGGGCTGGACTCAAGTGAATGAGAAAGCCAGAAAGTCCATTCCCCAGTATTAGGACTCACTGGGAAGCTGTACAACAGACACTGGCTCTGCCCACCACAGCTTAAAGCAGTTCATGATTTTCTGGAGTTCATGATTTTCTTCCACTGAGCCCAGCAGCAAAGCCCCGCTGATTTGCTGGGTCAGTCTTGCTGGAGCACAACACTTGGTCTTATTACAGGTTTCCTATGGTAACTAAAATGAGCTCAAAATCAGCTCCAGAAGTCTGACGTTACTTGCTTTCTTGAAACAGTAATGTAGACTATAAATTTTGGGTTCTAATTTAGTCATCAAAATGTTTTTGAAAAACCACCCTCCTAATAAGAGGAAAATAAAAACTAATCCTACCAAACCAGCCACCTAGCTGTAGCTGTAAAATTAAATGTGGAAAATCACAAGTATTGAAAAAAATGTTACTGTCATGCATGTTACTTGGCAAACAAACTGGAGGATAAATGGAGAACAACCTCAGTATGAAATAAAAATGAGTCAGAGGAGTTACATTCCACAATGGACAATGGCTCATCTTTTATGGCTTACAACACAATGATCTGATTATTGAATGATAGCAGAAAGATGCAGATTTACTTAAGAAAATTTTGCATCACAAATTAAAGGCAGGTTTCAGGATAAAAGACCAAATTAATTTAATGACTCATCTCTTTAAATGGATCCTCTTTAAGCAGATATGTATTTGTATTAAACCAACCCACATCCCAAATCATATTCACAGGGAAAAAAAGAATTGTTGATCTCTAGCTTTTCATAAAAGCATAATTCACTATTACACAACATTAACTTCTGTAAATCACAAAGCAGAACACAGCATAACAACACTATTATGAATAAATGTCTAAAATAGGTTTTGATAAAAACCTGTAAATCATTTACATCAACAATGAAGTGGGCTGACTGTTGGAAAAAACACATTTTATGCTTAGAATAATCTCTTTGGCAGATGCTTATCTGTAACAATTATGTTGTTTATGAAAGAGACAGATTACAAGCACACAGGCTTTCCTTCTAATTAAGTATTTAATTATGTAGTCACATGATGACTTATGTACTTTTTAAAATGCTCTAGAGTTGTTTCAGAGAATTTATTTGATGAGAAAAACTGATATCATACATGTTCTTGATTGCTCAGTGGGGAAATGTCCATTGTACCTAGATGTTTTGTGGAAAAGGGGGTAGTAGGAGAGGGCTGTTCCCTAAGCAGCACAGAAAAATAGGTATTAATTTATAAAAATGCAGGATCATACCTTCTGGCCAAGAAACAGGCTTTTGGTGGACAGGACTGTGAAACCATCTGCAGGAGTTCCCTCTGTTGTACTGTCAGCACTGGCTGATTTGCTCACTTCTCCCTGCTTCTTCTTTCAGAAATATAGTTAATTAGTTAACTCAAGACTCTGAGAAAAACAGTTTAATGACACTAAAATATATGATATGCACTAAATGCTTAGCAGGCAATAAAATGCCTGTACAAACAGTGGTGCTGGATTTTATCCTGTAGTCCAACCAAAGTGCCTGATAACAGCTGAAGGGATCAATAGGAAAAACAACCTCAACGTCTGCAGATGTACAGGCACCTCCTCTTGCCCACAACAGTGCACAGTTGAGATGACAGTCGTCTTAAATGTTGCAGGAAAACATATAAACAGCCCCAACCTTTTAAAAGCTTTCTAATGGCTTGTGTGGACAAAGATTACAGATTTCTGTGTGTGGGAAGACACTTATTGTAAGCTAGAAACTGACTTGCCAGAGAATAAATTTTATCTGTGGAGGGAGGTGCTCCCAGATTTCACAGACTTAATTTTAGAAACTCTCCTTTGTAATGTGGCTGTCCTTAGAAGCAGTGTCAAGAGAATATTTTCTATCTGCCTGCTTGCAGGAAATGGGCTGAACAATTTTCTGTCTTATTTATCATCATCACCTACTTTCATCTCCAGTGCAACTGCTGGAGGAGAAAGAAGGAGTTCCCCTCAGCCACCATTTCTCTTTTCAACTTTATTGCTGCAGAAATTAATTGGTTTACCGAACAAAAAGGAGGATTAGAACATTTTGAAATTTAAGTCAATTCACAAAGGCTGTGGTTATAAACTCAATTGGTGCCAATTTCACATTTTCAATAAAATGATTATTTACAATTTCACAGAAATATTTGGTGCCTCAGCAATATCTGTGTTGAAGCAAAAAAAGGGACACCCGGAACACTGAGGATGCCACTGTTCTCCTATTGTCCCTTTCCAAAGTATATAAACGAAGTTTGAGGCTGAACCACTAAAATAACTGATGCAAGGGTACATTGTGCTTTTAGAAGCTGTAACCATGCTTTACTTTACACAAGTGTTTTGAAAATTACATTTTCATGGGTCTTATTTCAATTCCCTAGGAGTTTACTGTTAGCCAAATACCAATATAGTAAGCAGACAATACAGTTTATTGTGTGGAAGAAAAACAGAACCCCACAACAGACTTCCTGCTTTTGTAATCAAGCAGGGCAAAAAAATTCCAGATTTAGGGGAATTATTAGTGCATGGTTAGTTATTGGAAGCACTGCATTTGAAATGTCAACTCACAGGTGTTCTGAGGGAGAAAACTAAATTCAACAGCTCAAAAAACCAAAAGAGTGAAACAATCAGAAGAGAGACCAAGTAAACAGTAACAGGATAAATACAGAAGCTTTGCTTGACCCAGAGGGAACTTTCACATTCCTTGTCCATTCTGTGTGAAATTCCTGTACTTTTCTTCCTACTTGCCAAATTTATTGCTTAACTGTAGTTGCTTTGCAAAAGAAAAAACATCCTTGGCTACACATGTACACAGTAGAAAGATCTCCTACTCCTACAAATTGAAATCTGTAAGGCAAGAGCAGTACAGCCCCCAGACGGTTTCCTCTTGTCTCCTGGTACAACCTCTGCCCACCTCAGAATGTTTCTTACAAAGAACAGAGGATTTACGGCCCATCTGTCTGTGCTGCAGACCTGGGCCACTCCTGAGGGCGTTCAGGCTCCAGGTGCACCAGGCAGAGGGCAGAGCTCATCCTCCCTGAAATCACCATTGGTAACAACACGTGCAATGGAGAGCTGGCCCGGTGTGAAGCTCCCTGCAGCTACTGCTGGCAAGCTCTGGGTTTAAAATAAACACATTACTCTACCTTGGATTTCCTTGCTCCTTTCTTGCCGCCTGTTTTCTTTGATACAGTTTTTTTTTGTGATGGAGACTTTGCCTTCTTTGCTGGGGGTGGAGTGATGATGGCTTCCAGTTTTCCTTTTGATCCCCGCTTCTTTGCCAACAGCTCTGGGTGAATATTGGGTAACACTCCACCACTGGCTATGGTGACCCCTTTCAATAGCTAATAAAAAAAAAAGTTGTACATGACAAATTCTAGTATTTACTCACCAATAAATAGAAAATAGGCTTTACTGCATATTTTGTATACTGCTGTGAGTTTCTCCACCATTATCCTTGAAGAAGAGATGAGAAATGTATGAAATGGAGCTGACCACATATTTGATTTTAATTATAAAGGGAGCATGTGTTTTTCTTGCACACGTGCTTGTCACTGTCAGTATCTCTAGGGCTCACCTGAGATCTGTTTCTCTGAATCCCTGCCATGAAGGCTGTTACCCAGTGAGGAAAACCAAGACAGCCCCAGGCAAACACCTGAGGGCCCAGCAGGGCAGCCTGTGAGATGGGAGCCCAAATCCAGGGTGTGAGATTACAGTGGGTGCCACACTGTGAAGAACCCAGTATATGTCCCAAGTGCTGCATTTTCCTGCAATTGTATTATTAAAAAGTTTTTTTCTTAGAAGAAGAAATTTCGGAATGGAGGGAAACATTTATACAAATCTCTATACCTGTCTTTCTTAAAAAAAAAAATGCAGTTGAAGATCAATATTCAAAAGTGTGCAGTTTATTCAACCCTTTAAAAGCAGAGTTGAAATACACCATGTTCTGTATTTAAAACCACTTTAACTCATTTTTATACATCTAACTGGGACTAATTCACTATTCAGGAGGATACAGACAGTGACATCGAAGTCTCCCAGGTGCTCCCACCTTCTGATTTGTGTTTACTGCTCCCCAGTCTCAACTCAGTGACAATCCAAGCTTACAAAGGGATAATGAATGGAAAGTATTACCAAATTTCAGACAAAACCAGAAGGAGGGTGGTTGGGGAAATACTTTTTCCTGCTCCATCATGATACATAGATTTGGAAAAAGTATCTTTTCAGGGGGGTTTTTACAGCACCTCACACAAAGGTACATTAATCCCAGCCACTGCCTCTGGCTGACACCACAGCACTGTAATAATGCCAGATTTTTTTTATGGCCAGGTTAAAGGCATCCTTAAGTCTGCGAAGGACACAGACTTGCAAGAGTTTAGAGCTCTTCTGAGGTCACAATAACAGACTTCAGTGAGAACAGGATAGATCCCACTGAATCCTCAGCTAAGGGGGAAACTAAAAACAAACAAAAAACCATCATCTGCAGGATTTGCTGTGTCCTTGAAGAAATTATAACAATACCCCAGTCCAACAGAAGTGGCTGTAATAGTGTTAGCAAGCATAATTTTACATCTCCATTGCATTTTTACACATTTTAGGAGTGCTGAAATACATAATTAAGCTGAGTGCTGTAGTTAGTTACACAGGCAGCATGCTAGTGAGTGTTTCCTGGTGTGCTGCTCAATAAGCAGAGGTCTTGAGTTACAAGTCAGCTATATGAAAAGATAATTTAAGAAGCCCTAAAGGAAATCCTGGCCTTCACATGGCAGAGGTTTTTCTTACCTGATTTAATTCTTCATCATTTGCTACAGCCAACAGGATGTGTCTAGGAGTGACTCGACCCTTCTTGTTGTCCCTTGCAGCATTTCCAGCCAATTCCAGAATTTCCGCTGGGGAAAAAGTAAGCTCCTTTTAATTACAGTGTGGTCATTAAGAAAAGTCAATGTGTTATGTAGCATCCATGCAAAAAGGTATGGGAATTACATCATGTTACTCCTAACTGCTGTAGATACCTTCAATAGACATCTAACTCTAAAATTATCATTTTGATTTTATATGTCTAATCACTGAAGAACAAATGCACACTTAAGTCTTGTGCTTTAAACTAGAATTATTTTTTTTATTCTTTTGAAACAGTTTCCCCAGATTCCTTACTTTTCATTGTTCTTCTCAAGGTTACTGTGTGCTTATCTCTTAAGACCCCTCTCCTATCAGAGGGCAGAGTATAGCAGATACACAAATACTATAGGCCTTTTTCTCAAATCTGTCAAATGTGAGTTCTGGCTTGCATCACTTCTACTTTTTTATTACTGGAAAAGACACTATTCTCAATGACTCAATTTTAGCATTAGGGAACCATATAAACACACATCCAAGTTAGGACACTAAAAATAAAAATTCTGCTGCTACACTAATTTAAAGATTTTTTTTTCTCTATCCGAGAAGAAATTTTTAACCAGAAAAAGTAATTAATGAATCATGTTTGCTTGCTCCTCATAAATTATTCCTTAGAGGATATTTCCAGGGCTGACAAAATAATGTTCAACAGCCAGGCATTTAATGGCTTTTACTGAATTAGGAAAGATGATCTTGCTCCCTGTCCAAGGATCTTTGAAGAGAAAGGCTAGAGCATTACCTGCTAACTGATTTATCTGCAGCTCAACAAACCTTGGACAAGGATGCAATTAATTACAAGAAAAGTCTGGGGAACAATTAAAAAAAATGACATAACATGTTTATCAGACTTGGCAATTATGTGCCACTGCTGTCTCCATTACACCTAACCTTTCATCTCCCTCTCTACAATCCGTGTTTCACTATTGCACTTGGTAGATTTCCTTTTGCATATCTGGTAACGTGTGGAGAAAAAGAGGGGGAAAAAAAGGGAAATGTATTTTTTTACCTCTATTACATACTAATATTAAAATGTAACATTCCAATAATATATGAGCTTGATTTCACATTTCAGAACTGACTACACCATGAGAGCTCTCCCATAAGCTTGATTTAGAAGCAAAGAGAACTGAATTAAGGCATTAACCTGGAAACAAAATGACTGAAATCAACGTTCATGTGACCACATGCCTTTACCATAGGACACAGTAGATCTTCAGTAATACTATACAGTACAGACTATGGCTTCTCATTAGACTGAATTTAACATGATTCACCAATTATTTTCCATCCGAAGTCCCATAACATTAAGCTACAATGATTACTGGAAAACTTTCAACTGCTTCTGGATATTCTACAGTTAAACTTCATTGAGGATTTTGGTGTGCTTTCACCATTTTTGTGTTCTTCAAAGCACACAATTAACTTTAGTATAGCATGAGGCAGAATATTCAGTCTAAACCCCAAAGTAACTCAACATTTCATGCTGACAACAATTGCTTTAATTTATTTTTAAAGCAGGATTAGCAGGGTAAGGTCAACCTGCCCACTGTTTCCACACCTCCAAAGAACTGAATTACGTTTGCATAATCCCTTTCACATACTTCTGGCAAGGCTCAGCTCAGACACGTGAGGTTTGCTGCCTGCAGCCTGTGGTGGCAAAGCCCTGCATCACCTCGCAGTGGACACGGTGAAATCCTGGGTGCACCCCAGGCATCCCCACTGACCCCAGCAAGGCTCTGTCACTGAGTAACGCCACCACCTCCACCTCTTCACACCAGGAACACAACTGTTTGTACCTCAGACTTATTGCCAGCTGAAAAGCAAAGGAAGGCTTTGCTGCTTTTGGGTTGGCCTCTGCTCCCCCACCTCTGCTGCTTTCCGGCACCGGGCCCTGCTGAACAGTCAGGCCGTGTTACTCTCTGTGACTGATCAGCACAGCTATGCAGACAGGTCATTCTGCAACTAAAGACTCTAAGAAAGTGCTATGCCTGTAAAGCACACAGGAATGTTTTATTTGTTCCTCATAAAACTAAAATGTCTGCCTCGTACAGTGGAGAACTGTTCTTGTAAGTGCTAAGCCCTCTTCCTTGGACAGGAAACTCGTTTTGAAATTACAGTTTTCTAATGGTCCTTTAGGGAAGTTGAGGTACCCCACTTCCTCTTCAGGAAGAGAACGCTTTGCATGGGCGTTGAGGACCACAAAAGAGGAGCTTGGGGAGAGGGAGAGGGAGAGAGGAGGAGGCCATGGAGGGTGGAATTTCTCTTCTCAACACTCCAACAACAATCAAGTATTGCTTGTACATGCAGAGAGCCCCACAGCACTGAGAACTGCCAGACTCAGCTATGTGCACGAGTCTGGTGAGAGAGGGACTCCCCTATCTAAAAACAGAGGATCAGGAGGTATTCAAACTGAAGCCAACATAGGCAACAGCTTGTTGATTTAGAACTGACAAGAGACAAACCTAATCCAAATCCAACAGACCAGAGCAATTAGAAATGCTGGAAATGAAGACTTTCTGGATGCAGACAGGATTCAGACTACTTGCCCGGATTTTTCTTGCAGACAGCACTACTTTCATATCTGTTTAATGCTGCTTTAATTCTGGAGATTTAAATGGTTGTTTAGCCCATTTTAAAAAACAATTTTACATTAGAGGATTGTAAAGGAACTGATTCAAATTTTCAGAAGTGTAACTGTGGATTTACCTGGAAAAAGGAGTAGGTGGGAAAAAGTACTTAAAATTGAGACTGGACTTGAACTCTTAGGTCAACCCATCACTTTGGAAGTGTCATTCTACCAGGTTCAAAGGTCTGAGTCATTGAGGAGTTCTGTTTCATTAAAAGCAATCTTCTCACAGTAGGAGAAAGCATTTAAAAATCAACTCCAGCAACAAAGAAGGGTCAAGAGAGAAAGCTTTGCTTAGAACTGTTGAGGGAAAAGAAAGTTTTAAGAGCTTCCATGACATCAGGTTTTGCTCAGCTTGTATTTATCCAACCAGAAAACCAAAACAAAAATATTTTACAAAAATGAGGCCTCACAAAAAGGATGGAAGTTGCATAATGTCTATTCCATTCGTTTCATATATTTACTCAAGGCATTTCCCCCCTAGAGAATAATTACATCACTACCACTCAGGCAGCAGGCAACTGCAAGACTCACTTTACAGAACTACAGAACATGAAGAGCTCTATTAAAAAAAAGAAGAAAAATCCCAACTTTTCCAATACTATATGGTTTGGAATGTATCATTCAACTACTACATACTGAAATCAGCTTAATATGAAGATAAACTCCATCTGCACAAATGACTTCTTCTGTGCTTTTGAATAATTTCAAACAAAAATGCAAACCAGCATGTACCACTTTAAGTACAGATATAAAACAAACCAGAAAAAAGTGTGAGAACTGTATAATTAGGAAAAGAAAATTAATTAGGAATTCAATGTCAGCATGCTATATATTCATGTATGTACAGCTGTTTAATAGCAAAAAACGCATGGATGCCTCAGAAATCTGACTATACTGTGAGCATACCAATTTGATTTAAAAGACATTGTTATGATTAATATTTTTCTTCTTTTCAGTCATTAATAAAGTAGAAGTGTTGAGTGGGAAACCCTAAAAGTTAAGAAATTTTCCTTAAAATGTATCTCCAAGGCAGATTTCATTTAGATCACTTGAAAAACTTCTTGGTAATAGTTAGAACTGGTATATGGGTAGTGAAAACTGGTCTAAGCCTGTTTTCAGCACTTGGACCAAAACTGCTTTTCTTCAGCTGAGGTTTTTAAAAGTTCAGTTAAGTATTTTTAAAGGAGAAAAGCAAACCGGTTGTGTCTCCTCATATTTAAGATTGAGATAAGACCACAGGAAAAGCTGATGTCAAGACATTTCCCACTCAAACACAACCAAAAAGTGTCAGAAGTCGCCACAGAAACCTCATCCTGGATGAAGGATTCAGGACTCAGATTTCAGTTTTCCTTGTCCTTTACTTTCAGAGAACTTGGTCATCTCTACTCACCCCACTAACTTCCCAATTTCACTACTTGCATTTCCCTGTTTCACAAGGGGCTGCCCTCTGCCCTGAGTATTGTTACATTGGTATCCACATTTGCAAATTCTGGAACAGACCACAACACATGGCTAAAATTAAACGAATTACTATTAGGCCAGAACAAAGCAGGCACAGTATAAACTGCAGACCTGCATGCTACAAATACAAATGCATTCTCCCCCCACTCCTGGAGTGCTCTAATTCACTTATCACTAGTTTTCAAACAAAACACTACTAGTTTTACTAGTACAAACAAAATATTACTAGTTTTCAAACAAAATTATTAGTCATTACTGACTAAAACTCCTCTTAAGCCTAAATAAAAAAGCCTTTAGCTTATTATGCATTCCAGGCTGTAATCTTTCTCAATGTAAGCAATACATTCAATTGGTCTGACTTAATCCCCAAAATGATTTTTCTCTTTTTTTTTTTTTTTTTTTTTGGTTTAAATTGCAAGCTAAATCATTGCTGTTGCATCGAATCTCTTTGTTCACCTTATCTTCAGGGAGATGAAATCATATATTTGAAAATTAAACTCTTAACAACTAACAGGTGATGTGCTGATACAAGGCCAATTTCTGAACACATGAATTCCAACAGGAACAAGTCGGGGGTTTCTAAAAAAATCGTGAAGCCACTCCTCAAAAGAAAATTGAAAACAATATCCAGAAATCACAGAAAAATGAATGTGGACAAAATTCCACTGAGAAAAATATGTATTTGCTACAGAGTCAACCAAGTGACAAAGAGTCTGCTTATTGTATTTAAATTAATCATCTTTCCCATCAGCATTTTATTGACTTGAGATTCATTTTACATGATTCCAGAAGGTTTTAACCCAATCAACCCAGGCTGTTAAGAGTTTCCTGCATTCTTCTCTCCATGTATTCCACCCAATCCCCCTGGAATCTGCAGTTGCAAGAGTGAAGGCAGAATCATTT